AGTGACACGGAGCGTGTCCATAGTGTCATTGTGTCGCCTGCCAATGATGTCATAACCCCTCGATTTCCGGTTTTGTTTTGAAGAAAACATGGAAACACCAAAGACGCTTTAATATGTTGTGCGCTTTAATAGACCGGTGACGACCGCACAGAGTAACATTATAACAGAACTTTCAAATGTATCTAGTATGACAAAACAGCGCTGGGTTTTTTTTCCCCACATACGCACGACCGGAAGGAGCGGAAGCGCTCGACTGTGGCATAATAAAAGCTCCGCTGCTTTCGAGCCGTGGGTTATGCTCGTTCAGCGGCCTCGTTTCGCTTTGACGGCTTTCAGCCTCACCCTGCTTCATTCTACTACGTTAACAAATCATTAGCTCATCCATGAACATGATTTCTGCCCGAGTCCCGTCGGATTGCATCGGCTGTGGGGATGAAGACCACAACTCCCATGATTCCACACTCAGTCACACCGTCATCAAACTACGCCTTTGTCTCTTTGTTTATTTTGAATACACGCCCTCTAGTGGCGAAAATTACATATTGTGCCTTTAAGGCCACATTAGGGAACATTAGTTACTGCATTAACTAAAGTTAACTATCAATGAGCAAAACATTTGTTGGAGTTTTTATTCATCTTTGTTAACATTCATTAACTGTTTATTGTTAATGTTACCTCAATTACATTATATAATGTTAGCAAATACAACTTTTGATTTTAATGTATTAGTAAATATTGAAATTAACATTAAGTAAGGTTAATAAACACTTTAGAAGTATTTTTCATTGTTCGTTCATTTTAACTATAATGCAGTTAACTAATGGCAATTAATGTGAACTTATTACCTAAAGTGTTACCGAAATAAAAAAAATATATATAAATATATTAAGCATGAAATATTTCTCTTTGAATTTTTTTTAAGTAGTAAATAAAGATTATTGAAGTACATTTTACAAGAAAACACTACTTAGCATGTTTTCTACATGTTTTTCTACTTCCAAATTTAACTTGTTACTTACTGTTTCTTTGAAACTGATTGTGAAATTTTCTAGCAATTTCTGAATGAAAATGGTTTTACAAAGTTTTTTGTTGTGCACTTTCAGTGCAACTTTCAATAGTAATATTACTGTTTAGATGGTAATAACATATATCAAATGAAGCAAGAGAGGAACTCAAAGTTCTGTAACCCCTACTTAACCAGCTCGACTTGTCTCACCAAGACTCTGTCAAGGATTAGTTCTTCTAGTGGTGACAGAATCGTCAAAAAGTCTTGGTATGGAACACATTTATCAACAAGCAGCCTGAAGACAATGAGTTTGTGGGGGAGCTGCCTGGGGAGAAGATGAGAGCGTTTTACCCATGATTGATTCCATACAAAAGGTCTGGTGAGCTCATACTATCATTATCATCATCACACTGATGAAAATATTTGATTCTAAATTCTAGATTCTAATCAACATCAACAGCGAACACTGATATTTTGTTTTGTAATGCAGATCATCTGATCTTAATCTCTGAGGGGAGTGACGTGTTATCTGTGGGGCTTTCATATGGCAATGCAATATTTTTTTTTTATTTAGTCATTTATCAGACGCTTTTATCCAAAGCGACTTACAAATGAGGACAACAGAAGCAATCAATTGTAGTATTAACACAACTAAAAACAGATCCAAAACTAAAAGCTATACACCTATACACATTTTAAAAATAAAGAGATTAAATAAAAATGACAAATGCATACAACAAAATTTCCAAACTTAACATTTAAATGAAAAACAAAAAATAAAGCTAAAAACAATTCAAAATATTAAAGAACAAAGGGTATGAGTATAATAATGATTCTAACATAACACTAAGCCAAACACCAAAAAAACACAACCACACACACATATATAAATACACATTTATAAATTCAATATATATATTATTTCATTTCCATTTAGTTTGTTGAAGTATTAACATAACTCAAATTAAATAAAACTAATAACTTAATAAAAGACCTATACAGACATAATAAAATCAGACATAATTTAACTAAAATTTTAATAAATAACAAATACAAATAATACTAATCAAATGACAGTAGTTTATCAGTAAACCTAAAAAATAACACTGCCAAACACACATGCTAAAAAAACAACAACTTACTGACACATAGTAAGAAATGGTTATAAAAACTGAAACAGAAGCGAAACAAGTAATAGGAAAGAGGAGAAATAAAAAAGCGATACTCATCCTTTTCCGGTGTCCCTGCCCGGTGGAGTCGCACGGTAGAGTCGATGGCCTTTACACTCTTCGGTCTTCACGCTAGGAGGCCTTCACGCGACGGCTGCCGCGGTATACTAAGCTTTTTTTATACCCTTCTAACAAAATACTACATTAATTCAGCTGAACACACTTTCCTTATTTTCTCCACAACAAATGGCCGCGTACATTGTGGGAATTACCATGTGAATGACGCGAAATTCATCATAAAATGCAAAACCAGACAGCGTGGTAAGTTTAAAGTGGTTTAGTAATTGCAGTTTTCTTTTCATGTCGTTGTTGGAACAATAAGATAATCACAAAGAGAAAAAAACGATATCTGCTGTATTTTTCAGCTGTGCTTAGCTTTTTAGAGTAGTCTCACCTTATGAGTTGTTTCGTTAGTATAGTTTTAAATTAAAGTGTTTTTTATTTAAATAATTTTAAAACTTAAGTACTTTTATAATAAACTTTATTATTATAAATATTATTAAGTAGGCCAGCTATAGGTTACTACGTTTTATGCTAAATAATTGTATGTAAATGTAAAAAATATAATATGCTCTAACAAAAACGTACCATTCCATTTTGGTGAAAATTAGGGTTACGATTGGGGAATGTTTGAAGATTTTTGTCTTTGTTTAAATAATCTGTAACTACACCAGTGAGCGACGCCTGTCACTGGTGTATTAGTCTAAGTCAGGGCTGCCCAAACTCGGTCCTGGAGGGCCGGTGTCCTGCAGAGTTTAGCTCCAACTTGCCTCAACACACCTGCCTTTAAGTTTCTAGTATGCCTAGTAAGAGCTTGATTAGCTGGTTCAGGTGTGTTTAATTGGGGTTGGAGCTAAACTCTTCAGGACACCGGCCCTCCAGGACCAAATTTGGACACCCCTGGTCTAAGTGACTGAGAAAAAAACATCTCATTTAACGATCGGTGTAACGTTCTTAATCTTTCTTTCCTCAGTTTATGGCTTTATGGCTGTGTCGAAACCGCCAGCGGATTCTGTTCTTCTGTTCGCCGTGCATATTGCTGCTCCCAGTTTACATCTATGTCTCAGTTGCTTTGTGCTATATCATGAAGCATGGGGCGCCCCATGGTGCACATGTTGTTCATTCTGTGCTGCCGGCACACTTTACCGCCAGCGGTCTCAAACACTCCAGAGATCTGGCTCCTCATCCTGCGAAATCCTTCTGGAGAAGCAAGCTAGACTGTGGCGCTCTGTGGAACATCATCCAGTACATGACGGATCGCCAATATAACCCCATCCTAAGACCTCATCTGGCTGAAAACCCATCCAGTGTTTCTTAGAAAACAGAAATGTCCAGAAGGACTGGAGATAGATGTTTTCCAAATTATGAGATTAACAATACAATGCCAGATTACGCCAAACTACCAATCCAGATGAAGAATTTTGTGGCCACCATGCACTGTCGAGACTATCTGCTGATCATAGATCCTTTAGATGTTTGTGATGCTCAAGCAAAGAAAGGGGCACCAACATTGCTCATGGCCATCAAAACTCAGACTGCAAACTTTGAGAACAGGGAAGCCATACGGGAAGCCATTCAGGAAATATAAAAACGCTAGGTGGACGGCAAAGGCTTCTGGGGAAGTCCAAAGACTTGCATATTGAAGAGAAATTGCATTTAGAGAGTGAAAAATATGGTGATATCATCCAGTGGGACTTTATGGACACCTTCTTCAACCTCACCTTGAAGGACGTCCTGTTCTGGGACTAGTTCTCAAGGCGATGCGCCCTCATGCCCGCTTAATTTTTAAGGGCGATGATGATGTATTTGTGAGGACACCTGCTGTCCTAGACTATCTGCTGGCTGAGGAGGCAGACGGAAGCTCCTCAAATGGATCCAGACAGGCAAATAAAATGGAGACGTTTGTTGTGGGGGACGTGATAAGCAATGTAGCACCTATACGCTTTAATGGGACTAAGTACTACATCCCGGAGAGTTTCTATAAAGGGCTGTACCCATCATACCCTGGTGGAGGAGGGGTGCTTTACTCTGGATCTCTGGCACATAGGCTTTTGGTGGTGTTGCAAAGGGTTCCTCTGTTCCCCATTGATGATGTCTACCTGGGCATGTGCCTTCAGAGACTTGGAGTTTACCCTATCAACCACCCTGCCTTCCTCACCTTTGACTTACCGAAAGATGAGCCCAAGGAACCCTGTACGAATCACACCATCCTCCTGGTGCACAAGCGAAGCCCTGCTGAGATGTTCCAACTTTGGAATGAAACGTCGACACCCAGCCCTGAATGCAGATATGCAACGCTATTAGTCATACTTGGACCCGATTGAGTTCAGACTGAACTTTTTCTTAGTTAAAGCAAGTTCTCATTCTTACCGAACACTTGAAAACTGGTGTTATGCATTGCAAGGTATTTTGTAAAAATTTGTTTTGAATATTCTTTACTTTCACATGAGTTGTATAAGAAACACTTGAACATTTAAAATACAACTGATCTAGAGTATTTAAATAGTCATAACTTTTATTGTACCTGCAAGAAAAAGTGATATTCTTCTAAAATTCTTGTCTAAAATCTTGGTTTAAGCATAATCATACTTAATTTTGTTAAATTTGTCCGAAAACAAAATGTAATATCTTCATTTTGCACCTCAAGTAGAATAATCTCGATTTAAGTATGTTTAGATATTTGCATTAGTGTAAAAAAAAAAAAAATTTTTTTTTTTTAAAAGTACAATCACTGTGAAAAATATTATTTTACTTTGCGGTGCATGCAACATTTAATGCCTTAACTTTATACTTTTAAGACTTTGTTTCAAATGATGACCCTTTTAGGGCTTTAATTTGATCTGTGAAAGTGTGAATTAAGACTTTTTACGACCCACAGAAACCCTGTACTTCTTTGAGTATTAAACCAGCTAAAACTTGTGGGCAAAACAACAAGTGTACAAAACAAAGTTTATTACAACACGGTATTTACAATAATTATAATATACAATGTTTCTTTTAATGAAACAAAATGTGTCTGAGATTTCAAACAAATTAAACTAAAGCAGAAACTTCCGAAAGCCATCAGAGAGAAATCATTCAATGCAAAATTAGCTCAGTCAGGCATCAGTGTAGTTTTCCAGGTTTTTAAGCCCAATTAAGATTCATATACAACTGTTCTTGGTCATGCTGTGGTGGGAGCACCTTCCAGTATCATTTGCAGTTTTATGCTCTTCCTTCATCTTCTTCCTCTTCATTATCATCACCTTCATCGTCCTCATCTTCATCAGTCTCTTCCTCACTCTCACTGTAGAGAACAGTGGCACGATTGGTGTTTACAAAAAGATCGCTGTCATCATCCTCAGAGTCGCTGTCACCCTCCTCCTCTGTTTTTCTTTCACTTCTTTCTTTCGGTGTTCCCTCATTCCTCTCACTGGATGTGCGATCCTCCTGGAATCCTTCTGGCCTGTGTGAAGTGTGAAAATGCTGTTTACTAAACACATTTCAATTTTGTTTTCTTGAAAAACAATCAAACAACATATTTCAGGATTAGGTTTAAAGGGATAGTTTACACAAAACTTTTAGAATCTCGTACAGGTTTGGAACAACTTGGGGGTGTCAAATATTCAATTCAAATATTAAAAAAAGACATGGCCTTACCAGACACCAAGTTTTCTCAGGTACTGAATATGGTCCCTGTAAAGTATGAAGCTTATTTCTCCTTTCACCTTCCCTCCTTCTTTAATGGGATCAACAATGACAAAGTCTCCTAACAAACAGAAAGACCATGAAAACCTCTTAGTGTCTTTAAAAACAGAATCGTTATACATCCATAAAAGTTCAAACAAACTGACCTCGTTTGATCCAGATGTTCTTGCGGAATTTAGTAGGCATACTGACAAGGAAGCGCTCGCCGCTGCCAGTCACAGCTTCATGGAGGTTATTGCCATTACTTCCCAAGACCTGTGATGTGAAGGAGGTGTAGAATTATTAGTATCATGGTATAGTGAGAATACGGAGTTCTCAAAGCCTTACAGAACCCAAAAACTGTAACTGTACCCTCATGATATGCTGGTCTTCAGTGGGTGTGACACAGTCCTCCAGAACTTCTTTGACTACGTGCTTGCGTTTGGTTGCCTTTGACATGGTGGATATAAACCTCTGGCGATTCTGTCACCTGAATAAAGACAAATATTAGAGTTAAGAGGCGAGAATGTGTGAAAACGCATGTGGACTACAAAGAATAAAGCGGCTTTCAGGGCAAACACAGTTTTATACGCTTTGAAATACATCAACATGCACACAAACCACATCTTGGCACCTTGCTATAACATACATAACTGGAAACCAGTGGCCAGTATAGCATGATCATTATAAACGCTATAAGATAATATATTTAAAAAAGGCAAGTAATTTGACATACGATACATACAGCATGGCATATAAATATGTGGCCTTCATCATGCTGTGTCGGTCTGGACAAATAAAAACCCTTAATGTCTAGATTTATTTGAATAGTAAAAGCGCAAATTTGTCATAGTCACCGTCACCTACCTAGAAACTGTATATGAAATTCTGGATGTACTCTGAGTTTATTTACTAATGGCATCGAGATGAATTGCTAGCGTTTCCTTGAGTCTTCTTCAAAAAAGTGTGAAGCGAAACGCGAGGGATGCAACTGGATGTTAAAAATTACAAAATAAAAGTCACACGAACACCGTTGAGGGTAAGAGGATTGTTAACAGTAAAATGTCTATAAATGAGCCGTTTAAACCATTTAATAATAATAATAATAATAATAATAGGATCTACTTAGCAGGTCTAAAAACGTTTGTTTTGAAATGTCGTTTTCATGGTTCACATTTTTAAAACAACCACAGCAAGCCAGGCTAATAAAACACGTTAGAATATGTGATGAGAGAAACAGATAGACATTAAAAATAATACGATAATCAGGGCGCAAATTTTCATTTGGATGCAGTGAACAGTCATCTTAAAGGTGTGGAGATTGAAAACCCTCCGTCACAAAGCAAGTGGATCTCCCAATAATCAGTTCAAACACAAGAGAAGAGAGTTTGAGAAAAGTGTGTTTCATCTCTCAGTATATTTTGTTGGTTTGTAATGTATTAATGTAGGAAAAATAATATATACTATTTATGTATTCATCTACTCATAGCTCTTAGACAGGCACGGAGAAACATACAGCTCATATTAGCTAACTACAAATATTGCTTATATGTCTTATGAAGCATGTGTGCTGTATGTATAACATCAGGTCAGAGAGATGATACGTGGAGTCCAGTCTGGGGGTGAGGAGAAAGCGGCTCGTCTCGCTTCTCTACGAAAAGCACTGAGAAACCCAGAGAGCCAACTCACTTTCATTAAGTAGGACTTCAATACCAACACACAGTTTACTTTATATTATTTGATGCACTGCATCATGTTGTTTATACGTCTCTTTTCTTCTCATTTGTTTTAGATGAATACATTTTTTTATAAATTTTTTATTCGAATTTTTAGTATTTAATTTTAATTTTTAGTTTTATTTCTTAGTCATCTTTTATTATTATTTAATTACTTTTAAAATCATTTTTATGCAAAGCACCTTGAATTACCTTTGGGTATGAAATTTGCTGTATAAATAAACTTGCCTTGCCTTATTTTAGGATGTCTACAACTGATATTTTAATGTGTAGGAGTAAATTTCACAAAACAAGTCCTATTTCAGCCCTAAACTAAACAGGAAAAACTTTACATGTTGCAAGCTTCTTTTAGGAACAGTAATTTATTTAAATTTGTTTGCCATTGTGCTTAATTGTCATGAAAATAATGTCACATTTGTGCATTTTTCATTGAGATTGAATATAAGAACTATATTTATAATCCTTATTAATTATCTTATATAGTAAAGATAATATAGCTATATATTATGTATATTATTTATTCCCATTTAACATATTTTTATCATATATATTTACTTATTTTACATTATAATAATATTTATATTTATGTATTTTAATCAAATGCATGCACAGCATAAGACACTTCTTTCAAAAACATTTAAGAAAAACATGATTCCAAAGATATATAGATAAGATGCTAATGCATTGCCTGTGTTTTTCTTCAGATCAGAGAACAGCATGCACATGTTGATCGGACAGCTCAGTTCTCATAATGCTCAGTGTCAGCTGGAATGCATGAGCTGTCTCACTCCACTCACCCCAGTGTAGGACAGGCCTGTCTGCCTGCCGGCCCTTACCTCCTCACTTACCTTTCCAGTCAGAGCACCAAGCTAACGGTCAGTGGGTTATCACTTTGAAGTCAGTGTCAGAGGCATGTACTCAATCATTCCTCATGAATTTGTCTCTTTTGTCTTTTCCTTTAGGAGCTTTCTTTATACACTCTGGGAAATCTGTGTCCTGACAGCACTGTGGTTAGAGAGAAGCTTCTCGCTCAGGGAATAGTATCTGCACTTGCAAATTGCATTCATGTAAAAACATTTAGGCGACTAATAGTAAACTATTACTTTTTGTTAAATCTTATAATTGACTTAAATTAAATTATCAAATCAAGCCTGTATACTGATAATGCTATTGCGTCTCTGAGTGCATTCTCATAGGCTGAGGGTTATATTTCATCCTAAATCAAAAGAAAGAGACAACAATTTTATTTTTGGTTTTTGGACAACTGATAATTATGTGCACATTCAGTTATACTTGTTCTGGTTATTATCAGTGGTGATTCTCAGTACTGTCAGAGTAACATTTTTCATTATTTTATTTTATTTTTCATATCACAGTAATGGGAATTTTGGGGGGAGGTGAGTATGTTTAACTGTCATGTAATGCAAAAAAAAACAATGAAGTAAATAAATAATAATGTCACAATGCAACAATAACAACAAAAAATCTTTAAGCAAAACATTTTTTTTCTTTCTTTATTTTTAATTTAAATACCATAACACATCCAGACATATTACTTTTGTGGATTTTTTGTTGTTCTGGTTATTATCAGTGGTGATTCTCATTACTGTAAGAGTAAAATTTTACATGATTTTATTCTATTTTTCATATTACAGTAATTGGAATTTGTGTGTGGGGGGGGGGGGTGTGTTTAACTGTCATGTAATGCAAAAAAATGAAATAAATAATAATGTCACAATGCAAAAAAGAAATAAATTAAAGTAAATAAATAAAAAATCTTTAAGCAAAACCTTATTTCTTAAGTTTTTCTTTCTTTTTCATCTAAATACCATGACACATCCAGACATATAACTTTTGTGGATTTTTTGTTCTTATAATTCTCAGTAGTGATTCTCATTACTGTAAGAGTAATATTTTCCGTTTTTATTTTTTATCTAATCTAATATTAATAATGTCATAATGAATTTTTTTTCTTTTGCTTTTAGCAAAATATTATTTATTATTTTTTCATTCCTTTTCATTTGGGCTGAAATGTGACTTGGACATGTTCTTGAGATCATGAAATAGTAAGATTGTTTTTCTGTTCTAGAATCAGAGGTATAATCTGGCCGTTGTGGAGGCAGTTGGCTTCACTTTGTCTCAGCTGCTACAGGCAAAAGACGCAACTGAAAAAAATCATCCCATAAGTGACCACAACTTGTTTATTTATGTTTATTTGTAGTGTTTCTGACAAATGAACTAAGGTCTTGGCACACTGAAATTGCTATAGTTTACTATAAATAGTTCATGCTAATGAAAAATATTAAGATATTCATCTAAAATATTTCTGCCTTTGTTTTATATTTGAAACTCCAGAGCAGTCATGGCTTCAGGAATAGTCCCTCATGTGATCTCAGCGTTGACTCCAGATCCTGAGTTTGGTTACAGGCCAGCGATTGAGTGTATGTGTTGTTTGTACTATTTAGTCAGCAGGTGTGGTCTTTTCTTTTTTCATAAAAACTTACTAAACAATGACAGAGTAATGGAGATTTGTGCTAAAAACCTGTTTAGTGCCATTAATTCTCTTTCAATCTCTGTATGAAACAAAAAGAGGCTAGTAAGTAAAACACCAGTTGAATTGTGACATGATGTTGTGGACGGTTTGCAGTAATTTGGATAACGCGATGCTGATCGCTCAAGGCGCCCTCTCACAGTGCAGTGCTGTTTTGATAACACTAGGAGGCGCTGTTGCTCAAGGAAACCTGGAGGGTGGAATAGAGTTGGTAAGTCATTACAGCACAACATTTTATACCCACATCACGTACATACTGCACATCTGGGTTAGGATGAGAGTCATTTTAAATTATTGTGTTCACTGAATAGAAACACCTCCTATATATAATTCAATTATCAATGCTTTTATAATCAGTGTTTACTATTACATAATTTTATGAATTTCACAAAATAAGTCATATTTAATCTTAAAATTGAACACAGAAAATGTTGCATATATATATTATTAAAAAATATAAAATAAATACATAATTTTGATATATATATATATATATATATTAGTGCTGTCAAACGATTAATCGCAATTATCATGCATAATGCATTCCATAATATATGTATGTTATATATTAAGATATAGAATTAGAATAACTCAGGAAACCTGTATTGGAATTATGGAATTGAAGCCAATGCAAGGTCGTAGTTTCTCATACAGTAATATTTGAACTTCTATAAACTGAACAAATTGCCCAGTTCATCAGCAAAATGATCATGTGGTCGTTATGGTTCTCTCATCCTCTAAAAACTGCTTTTACCTGCTTTCCTCTGGACTGTGACTTTTGTTTTTGCTGTGCAGCTCACTTGGCCTCTTCTGCGTTGCCTTGGTAACCTGCTGGTCAGTGGAGGTGATGTAATGCCAGAGGACACTCGTCTCCTCGCCGTGCTCTGTGTCTTTAGTCAGGCTTACCTTCACCCTCATCCTGCTCTGTCCAGAGAGACCCTGTGGGTGCTCAACAACCTCACCGGTGAGCAGGACGTTAGCATGCATGTGCTCAAATTGATTAGCACCCCAATTATTCATCCCAATTAAAGCTCAAACGGAAATGAACGTGTTCTCACAATTATGACTGTGATGCACTGTCTTATGTCTTTTCAGCTGGCTCCAGTGGGTTCTGCTCTGGCCTGCTGCTTCTTAATATGGCTCCCATATTAATCCAGTTTCTGTCTTTCTCTAAAGGAATTAACTCAATGGTGAGGAACCAGCTTGCATATATACATCAGTCTAACATAGTTACATTTTTGGGCTGCGACCCATTATGAGGTGTATGATCTTACACTGACCCATATTAAAGTATTTAAAAAAGCATATGTGAAATATATTTGAGAATAATTTACTCTCCTGTTCAAAAGTTTGGGGTTTTATGATTTTTGTAAAACAAAAGAATATTTTAAATCGATTAAAAGTGACAGTAAAGACATTTATTATGATCTAAAAGATTTTTATTTCAAATAAATGCTGCTCTTTTAAACTTATTCATCAAAGCGTCTTGAAAAAAATGTATCACGGTTTCCACATAAATATTAAGCAGCACAACTGTTTTCAACATTGATAATAATAATAATAAAGTTAATTAAACAACAAATCAGAATATTAGAATGATTTCTGACGGATTATGTTACACTAAAGATTTTCTTGCATCACAGGAATAAATTACATTTTAAAATATATTTAAATAGAAAACATTTTGTTATTTCTTATATTTTTTTTATACTTGTTTGAC